ATATTTTCCTGCCTCCAGATATTTTCTATTTTTTCACCATCAGGATGTTTTCTCTCTATTTTTCTGAGTCTCTTTCAGACTTTTGTGTTTTTTCATTTGGGGGCATGCTTCATTTTACGGTGTTTTAATGTTTTTGAACAAAAAAAGAAAAGAAAAAAGATGAAATGAGGAGGAGTTTTAATGTCAGAATGCTGGTTAGTGAAACGTCTTTGACTCTGATTTTGCTGTGGTTTCTCCTTCCAGATGTCTCTCAGAGGTCCTGGCCAGTGTCTGCTCTGTAAAGGCAGCTGTTCTGGATATCAGCCCCATTCTTGGAGGTAAACCTGCTTCTTTTTCAGCTTTTTGAAATGTCACTTTAACAACAAAGTGATAAAAATAATAGACTTTTGCTTCATACAACACAGCAATCAGCCACAGTTTCTGCATCTGTAAGCAAGAATTTCTAGAAACAACTTTTATTAAGATGGGATGTTAGAGAAAACAAAATCTTAGAAGGAATTGATAAATGAGATCCTTTAATGTTTACTGAAATAAACAGAACCCTGTTGATCCCTGTGCTCCAGGAAGGCCTGCATGGCGTGCGGCTGCAGCTCGGCAGACCACGCTCCTGAGGGCGACCAGGAGGATGACCAGCGGATGGGACGCCTGCTGGGAGACTCGCCCTGCTCACACTTAACTGCAAAGGTCAAAGGAGGCGGCGGCCTTCGGGTGTACAAGAGAAACCGGATGATTGTGACCAACCCGGTGGTTTCACGCAAAGACCCAACTTTCCACACCACCACATACGACTGGGCCCCCGCCGGACTCAACCAGAAACTGGTGAGATTCCTGCAGTTTCTGACGTCCTGCTGGCAGACGGGAAACAGTCCGTTATTCTTTTCTAGAATCACATTAATTTGTTTAATTCCTGATTATTTAATTGTAAACATGTTTAAACATTTAATGCTCCACTTGTAGAAGGCCAGATGGAGCAGCCTTTTTATCAAACTATTTAAGTTTTTTATTCTGAAGTATTTAAAATAGAGCTACTTTAAAAATAGTATTCCTCACAGACAAAAAAAAGTAATCTTATTTCTTAATAATTCTCTTAGCTAGTTCTTAGCAGTCTGTTGGGATTTATGCAGACATATTTCTCTATCTGCTGTATATCACCTCACAGCTTCTGAAAATAATAGCTCTGTAGCACATATTATGCAGCGCCGATAAGCAGTCCAAAATTAGGAGCAATATTTATGGTTATTTAGCGCGTTTTAAGATAAAAA